CACACACACACACACACACACACACACACACACACACACACACACACACAAGTGATACATGCCAACTAGTAAAGTAATAAAACTGCAGGTTGTAATTTATGTATTTTATGTTTCTGTTGCTCTTTCTTGGCTGGGATTTAATTATTATCAGCATTTGAGCCGTGCCGATTCTGTTCATGCTATTTTAGTCAAATTAAATACAATTTATAAAATAATTTTGAAATATGCTGTGGTTAATACTCTTGTGGTTCGTGTGGCTTTTCAAAAAAATATATCAGCAAAGGATTAATTGTCTAACTRAGGTGACAGTTTTGACCTAATTATAAGAAACATATGAGCCTGGTTAACAAAAATAGCAGCCAATCAAAGCAATTAGGAAAGAGGTCAAAAGGTGAGAGCCATCCTCTGAATGYATAATAAGATATCAGGACCAGACGGAGGTGTGTGGTTGTTTAAAAGAAATAAAGAAAATGTGACTTACGGTCCATTCTCCACCTTGATGGAGCGGATCTTGTTGAAGCCCCTCTCCATGATGTTCTGGCATTCCAGCATGAACTCACAGCGCTTGCCCTGGAAGTTCTCCTCCTCCCAGACTGTGATCCTGAACTGGCCCATTTGCTCCATCTGTTGAGTGTTCATGGCTGCGGCTTCTCCCTCGGGGCTTGCTCTCTGAAACAGGAAAGAATTCGCATTTAAGAAAAATAAAGAAATTCACAACAAAAAAAGGCCTGCGTGTGTTCGGCTGGGGGTGATGACGGGAACAACATAATTTAAAAGTGCTGTTGTCTTGAATCAAACATTCTGTGCTCATTTATTTCATTGGAATTTCAATCTTATTGTTTTTAAAACCTCCGGATTAATCAAATCAATCAGGCTGCACAAAAAGCAAAATAAAACTGGAAAAAAAAATGCTCATTTCTTCTCAGCAGAGATGCTTGTTCCAAAGCAAACTATCTTGTGTCTGGGTGAAAGATTTATTTGTTTTTTAATTGTCTAAAAGTTGTTGATGATGATTTGGTCAGTAWGGTCTAATTTTAAAATATTTCAAATTTGAGAAAAATGCTTCGGTGATATAAACACRTTTTTCTAAAATAAAAAAGAACTATACGAATATTTTAAATCCCTCTATCATTTTTTATGCAATAGTGAGCAAATCAAGTCAGTCCTTTCATCTAACATATATAATAAGGACCATATTAGTCAATTAAGCCCCTCTTCAACACATACATCTGTCCYCCCTGTATGCATTTTCCTGCAGCTAAGTTTGAGGTAACATGATATACTTACAGACGGTACTGAGGTGGGACAGATCCAGTATAATCAATGTCGGGGACGAGACCCTCGCCTGTGTTTTTATAGGGCTGAGGCCCCCCTGGACCTGCGCCACTCCATTTGCCCAGCAGCCTTGCACACTCAGCAGCTGAGCGGCTCGGCTGAAAGGGGAGCATTAGCCCGGCGCTTTGTGGAGGCTCCAGAGCACCATTGTCCTCAGAGCCCCAAACTGACTTAGTCATCAATACGGCAGCCGTGGTCAGTAGCAGCCTGACCCGGGAGGAAACAAAGGCAACGCACTGACACAACAGTTTGATTGGTGTAGGTGGATAATAGACACATTCTGGGAGCTGATCCCCCCCCACCCCACCCTCTGTGTCTCCCTCTCTTCTGTGGGTAAACTGGAACCAGAGATGAGGAAAGGGTTCAAGGCATCCTCCATGCTGAGTGATTGGGTGTGCTGATTTCATAAAAAGAGGGTATTTCCTTCTTTTCCCAGCAAATTTATAAAAAAAAAAAACATCATCCGGAGGAGCTGTAGGCTTTGTTTTCCTGACCAAAATAGGGTCTTTGCTTCTTTTTATTGTCATATTTATGACCATTAAAGTACAGAAGATGACAGCTGTTTAATACCCAAGACAGCAGGGTGAAATAGCTGAGTGGTAAATAAAGGATCTTAATATAAGACTGAAAACAGCTACAGTATTTGGTAACCAACAAAGGAGGTTCCACAAATATTTGTTTTTCTAGCTCATGTTTCAGTATGAACTTATATTTGTGTGTATATGTGAGATACATTTTACTAATTGTGAACATGAACAAGCAGTGGAAGCCAAAGCTGGGGTCGGGAACCCATGTGTCATGAAACATCAAGTGAAGACCCCCCAGATGATTTTCAGGGATCAAATTAAATGTAAAAAAAATCTGTATTGTTTGATACAA